TCCACAACTAGACTGAAGAACAAAAGGACAGCAACTTGTCTGTTCCCCTTCCCCCAATTCCTCAGCACTGTTCCCATCCCCCAATTCCCCAATAAAAATATTTTAAAAAATAAAAATAAAATTAATAAATAAAATGAGGGCAATAGTTGTGCCCACTACGTAAGGTCATTGTGAAAATTAAATGAGATAATATGTGGAAAGCACATAGAGTGGCGCCTGGAACACAGTAAATGCTCAGTAAATGTTGGTTATCATCACTTTCATGGCACATAGTTTATTCACAGAAAGGACCTTGAAGGAGACACAGCCAACTTTTAACATTGAAAATGGGAGACAGGTGGAAAGCCTTCATTTTTTTACTCTTATATACTTCTTTTTTTTTTTAAGATTTTTTTTTTTAAGATTTTATTGGGGAACTGGGGAAGGGGAACAGCCAAGTTGTTGTCCTTCAGTCTTAGTTGTGGAGGGCGCAGCTAGCTCAACGCCAAGTCCAGTCGCCATCAGGCTGCCCATCGGCAGCTCGCAGCCACTCAATTCAAGGTGCCGTATTCAATCTTTAGTTGCTGGTGGACATAGCCTACCATCCCATGTTGGAGTCAAACTGGCAACCTGTTGTTAGGAGCATGTGCTCTCACTAGCTGAGCCATCCTGCCAGGCAGCTCGGGCGCAGCTCACTGGCCCATGTGGAAATCGAACTGGCGACCCTGTACTCAGAGCTCGTTCTCTTAACCAACTGAGCCACTTGACCGGTCCTCTATATATGTCTTTGTTGGAATTTCTTTTCCATGAATATTTATTACTTTTGTTATTTTTAAACCAGTAGCCATAATAATGTTTCCTGCATGTCTAAATTTCTGATCATGTAACCCATTGTTGAAAAAACTGGATTTCAACCTTTAATGATACTTTTGACATTTTTGGATTCGTTCCCCATTAGAGGTGCGTGGTTTGGGCCCCCACTATAAAGCGAAATCTTCTGTCATACATTCTCCACTATTTTCTTTCACTAGAAAGAAAGGCTTGCCTCATCGATGTGTTTTCTAACTTTTTATTCTGAGATTTAAAAATATACAGAGCAGTTGGAAGAATTGAATAGTGGACATCCATATATCAACCACTAGTTTACTGTTTTGCGGATCTGCTTAGTTCTGTGTGTGTTGGGGTATGTCCTCAGGTACCTGGAGGTGAGTTGCAGAGGACGTTGCAACACTTCAGGCCTGGGCCCTGAAGCCTCTTAAATGGGAGGGTGTCTTCCCTGTTCTCTGCCACTGTTACATGGGAAAATCACAATCCTTCTCTCATATACCAAGTGTCCAGGCCGAGTCAGAGTCCTCCATGACTTCTTTGGTAGTTATTTCTAAAAAAATTCTAGATCCAGTCAGGGTTCACACATTGCATTTGGTTGTTATTGTCTCTTTAGATGTTTATCTATTTGAGTCTTCTTTCCCTGACCTTGATCTTGTTAGGAGAGAGCAGGTCACTTATCTTGTAACCCTTCCATCTAGCCTTTGCCTTTCCTGTCTTGGGGGCCAGACGTATCTCCCAGCTTCTTTCTGTATTTCCCGAAGTGTAGAACTTTGTCCCTGCACAGGGTCCTAACCAGTTGTGGTTGTACCGTGGCTTTAACTCAGGATGCTTCAGAGCACAGAGCACTTCTGGGGCCTTTTCTGATTCCACTGTAGTCTTTTCTTTCTGGGGACCAGCACCGTCTCAGCTGGCATGATGGTCAATGGGCTAGAAGTCATCAGTGTAGGGAGAGCCCACAGGGCACTCCTAAGCTTGAGTCCTTAGGAGAAAGTCAGGAAGTTTACAGGGTGAGGAGTGGATCCCAAATGAAAGATGGATTTTTGAGAGTCACTTACCCTCACCTGTGCCAAAACTGCTTTGGACTTCCCAGTCACTTGGGGCCTGTGACTCAATTGGGAGTGAAGCATTCTGGAAGCCTGATCTTTTCCATAGCCAAGTTTTCTTTACAAGACCCCAGAACCTCTTAGCCACATAGACAGTCCTTGAACACCGAGGCAAAGCTGAGGTCTGGGAACTGTCATGCCTCTACCGTCACTTGGGACCTCTTCCTAGGCAGGCCAATCACCTCAAAGATAGTCAGTCCCACAGCCTCTTATACCTGCTGTTCTTGCCCACTGGCAAGCTAGAAACCCCTCATGACCTGTGCTTTCATGGCAGTTATGCAGCTCCAGGCTTTCTGCCCTGAGATGCTTTCATTCACAGCTGCCCTCACGTGCTTCTCCCCGTCTTCAGCATCTTCCCAGAGAGTCTACCCTGTACCCCCAGGTCTCGACTGACTTCCCGAGGACACAGCATCCTAGTGGCTTTTGAAACGAAGCTGCTCCTTCTCCCACACAGCATGTTGCCAAGCCCTGGGCTAGCTCCTGTACTCTCCTGTGACCCTGGAAAAAACATGTCTGTGGCAGAACTCTGAGAAGTCAGACAACTTTAAGATAGAACACTGAAACTCCTGCCAACCCAGCCAGCCAGAAATAATTATTAATACGCAGTTGGGGTTTTCCCCTTCTTCTTCTATGTATATATGTTTTTATATATATATTAAAGCTATATCATATTATTTATACATTTTATGTTTTTTCACTTGAAATATTGTGAGTTCTACCTGTGTCACCAAATATTCTTAGAAAATATGATTTTTAACACACTGTATCTTATTTAAATGCCCCTTTCAGGTTGACATGTAGTATTTTTCTGTTATAACAAATATTACAGCATTTTTGTGCCTAAATCAGATTTTTTTAAAAATTGAGACATAAATGACATGTAGCTTCAGGTGTGTAACATAATGATTCAATATTTGTATGTACTGTGAAATGATCACCACAGTAAGTCTAGTTAACATCCATCTCCATACAGTTACAAGTTAGATTTTTTTGTTTGTTTTGATAGATTCTCAAAGATGAGATTTTAGGTAAAATGTTGGGGATATTTAGAATTTTGATACATATTACCAAATTGCTTTCCAGGAAGTGTTGCACCAATTTATAGTCCTACCAGCCATGTGTGAAGGTGCTGCACCCACACCCACACACACACACAATGGGGATCATCATCAGTCCCACCTCTGGCCTAGAGCCTGGCCCATACTTGGCACTCATAAGTGTTTAGATTGCAGTGTCCCCTTCACTGCAGGTTGATCATCACTGTACAGGGGCACAGCGCCTGCTGGGGGTTCTGTGAGGACCAACTCGTCCAGTGGACGCTGTGTACAAATTTAGCCATTTCACATACCTGAGGAGCCACTTGAGCAGGACCCCACCGAGCGGGACACCATCTGGAGCAGGGCTGCAGGACATTTAGCCTTTCACTCCCACACCTGAGCAGCTCTGCCTGAATCAGTTGTACATACTGGGATGATACCCAAGATAACTGTTTGCAGAGCTGGGCTGCTGGAAAAGATTTAAAAGCTTTTTCTCAACCTACAAGATTTTTCACGATCTCAGTCTCTCTAGTCACATCCTTTTACCTGAACCCCAGCACCAGTTCATTGTAGCCTCCCCTAAGCACTCCATGCCTGCGACAGTCCGAGGCTCTGGGCCTGATGCTGGACAGGCTGCTCTCTCTTCTCTGCCTGGCTAAGGTTTACTCGCATGCTAACATCAAGGCCCATGCCGCCTTCTCTGGGAACTCCGCGACACTGTGAGGGCTTACCTGCCTCCAAACTAGGCAGAGGGCCTTGGAGTGTACGCACAGGGCTTTTCGCAACTCCCAGGTACAGTGCCTCGTGCACATTAGCCACTCAGTAATGTTTGCCGAATGAATGAACATTCACTGGGGAACTTACTGAGAAGTGTCCGTCACTGCTCAAGGGTGCCTTTTCTTACCCAATCTGACTGGCTCCTCAGAGAATGCTCTTAGAGAATGAATCTGTGGCTGATGTCATATCTGTAGGTTTTAGGGTTTCATGAACAAGTAACCTCCTTTTCTCTCTCTCCCCTTGGCACATCAGCTGACCCGACGGTTGCCGCCCATCAAGGAAGCTAAGCCGCGGTTGCAGAAGCTCTTCCGGGACTTCTGGCTCTATTCTGTCCTGATGGGATTCGCCGAGGAGGGGTCAGGTAGGGGCAGATCCGCTCTCCTGGGGAGACAGAGTGCAGAGTGAAAACAAAGGGGAGGTAGGACTCGACACTAATTATGAATGTGCTCATTCAGAATTAGTCCAAGGGCCGGCCGAGTGGCTCAGTTGGTTAAGAGCTCACTCAAGAGTTTGAGCTCTGAGCAACAGCGGTTCGATTCCTGGCCCGAGCTGAGCAGCCACTGAGCTGCCAACAGGTGGCAGGATGGCTCAGCTTAAAAAAAAAAAGAGCAAAAAAAACAATAAAAAACCAGAATTAGTCCAGATGCAGCTTCTGCTTCCTGCAAGTGTTTGCAAATGTTACTTCCCAAATGTGGTGTAGGGCTTTGAGAATACCACATATCTTAGGAAAAACCTGCCCAAGTTAAGAAACAGACTTGTGTGGGCCGGCCAAGTGGCTCAGTTGGTTAAGAGCTCAAGCTCTGAGCAACAGTGTTGCCAGTTCGATACCCACATGAGCCAGTGAGCTGCACCCAAGCTGAGCTGCCGCTGAGCTGCCAACAAGTGGCAACAGGCAGCAGGATGACTCAGCTGCACGTACGCCTAACAGCAAGGTTGCCAGTTTGACTCTCATGTGGGATAGTGGGCTGTGCCCACCCGCAACTAAGATTGAACATGGCACCTTGAGCTGAGTGGCTGTGAGCTGCCAATGGGTGGCCGGATGGTGACTGGACTTGGGAGCTGAGCTAGCTGCACCCTCCACAACTAAGATTGAAGGACAACTTGGCTGTTCCCCTCCCCCAGTTCCCCAATTTAAAAACAAAAAAGGAAACAGACTCGTTTCTGTGCCCCACTTTGGGGATAATTGGCTCAAACAAAGAACCCACGATTCTAGAAATTGTCAACATCGACCCCACTGCAGTGCTTCCCGGCCAGGGCAGTCATCTCACTCGTGCACTCTCTTGCAGGACTCTGGCCAGAAGAATGGTATGAGGGGGTCTGTGAAATAGCCACCAAGTCCCCCCTGCTCACTTTTCCCAGCAAAGAGCCGCTGCGGTCCGTCCTCCAGTACAACTCAGCCATGAAAAACGACACAGTCACCCCCGTAAGGATTCTCACCATCCCAAGAACAGATGATGCAATGCAGGGGTTCTGCTAAGCTCTCGTGAACATGAGAGCCGGTCCTTTCATTGTCCTTGTTAACACATGTTAGCCACTGGGGTTCGTGTCTCCTGGGGGAAGGCCGTCTGCCCCTTTGGGTGCCCACGTGAGCCCTCGAGTGTTCATTTCTTCTAGGCTGAACTGAGCGAGCTCCGCAGCACCATCATCAACCTGTTGGACCCTGCCCCCGAGGTGTCCGCCCTCATCAACAAGCTGGACTTTGCCATGTCTACCTATCTCTTGTCTGTTTATCGGCTGGAATATATGAGGTATACAAGCCTTCACCTCCCCACACATCCATTTGAGCTGATTTACATTTTTGTGCATGGGACTTTTCTGCCCCAGATGTGCAAGCTTTCTTAAAAACAAACAAAAAACACCCTCTGCTTTTCTTGTGTGCTCCTCCTTCCTGAGCACCAAATACCATTTCTGGTAATACCCTAATCTCTGTTATCATCTTCGCCTCGTAGGGAATAGGCTTCTGAGCCATCACAATAGATGTTGCAAACTCAGTCCACTGACTAGACAAGAGCCCTGTTAAGAACAGCCCTCGCTGAGAATGTTCTAAGGCACTCATTGAGCTGGCTTTCAGGACCACAGGGGAATACAAACAGGAAGTAGGAAGTGGCCAAAACAATCCCTCAGGTGACCTGATGCTCAGGATGCATCTGTAACCACAGCAGAACTAACAGCTATAATAATTGTCATGATTTATAATGGCCATCGTGATAATACCAGTATTACCATGGACTGAGTGCTTATGTCAGGCTAGGCACTGCCCTAAGTTACACATACTGCCACGCTCTCCAACAAGCCTGAGGTAGGTACTCTTACATGACCATTTTACAGATGAGGAAACTGAGACTGAGCAGTTAAGTAAGTTGCCCAACGTAATAATCCCTGATTTAGACCGAAACGCAAATAGTCTCTTAGGCACTGTGCCATGTGTCCTCTCCTAAAAGAAATCTGGGGACCTGCCGAATGGCGCGTTGGTTAGGAGTTGGCTTGGGATGCCAGCTCTGAGCAGCAAGTCCACGGTTCGGATCCCACAAGAGGGCCAGTGACGCTGTGCCCTCTACAGCTAAGATGGTGAACAACAGCTTGACCTGGAGCCAGACTGCTGTGAGTCACTGGCGATGGCATAGGCTGCAGTGGGGCTGGCTGGCAGCTGGTATGAGCTTTCGTGAGCCGCCGTGAGCAGCCATCCAATGGCCAGCAAGTGACTGCCTCATCTGGGAAGAGCGCAATGATAATACCAACATGGGCCAGTGAG